CTACCTTCCATGTACACGTGTGTTATCTATGCAAATGCTTACCGGAGGAAGAAAGTCTTGTACCGTTAATGGAGATTCGTTTGGATGAGAGTAATAGTTGCATGGAAGAACCGGAAGCAATATTCGAAAGAAAGAAAAAGAAATTACGTCACAAAGAAGTGGTCTTGGTCAAGTTTCAATGGAAGCATCATCACGGCTCTAACCTGACTTGGGAGTCGAAAGAAGACCTGAAGAAGTGTTATCCTCACCTATTCATATATGACAAGATTTCGAGAGCGAAATTGTTTGCAAGGAAGGAAGGATTATAACACCCGTATTTTTGGTACGTATATATTGAGTTTTATATTCATTTTTATCTGTAGTTTAACCCTTAAATTAGAAATAACGTTGGGTTGGCTTGTAATTGGGTGTGTGTTAGGAAACAAAATCAAAATTTCAGCACACTTCACGCCAGTGACAGAATTTGTGAGTTCATCCTCTATGTTAAAAGTTTTTATATATGTTAAATACCTTGTTTACTTGTTCTTAACAACCCCATATGAGACTTCACAAAGATTTGAATTATGGGGCCGTTTACCAAATGTTTACTCGGGTAAGCGCTTACCAAGTTATATTACGTTACCGGGTGAATATGGCAATGGCCAATAATCTTACCCGGTAAGAGAGACGCAAAGACCGAGTGTTTTACTCGGTAAGTGAGGATAATGACTCTTACCACGGTAAGCTTTTACCGGCTAAATTGTTGCATAGAAAGCCATTTTTGTTGACTAAAATCTTACCTAGTAAGTAAATGATAGTGTTGAATTTTACCGCTAAATACTTACCGGATAAGTGTTTGATAAACGGCCCCTAAGTCATTTTCATGGATTTTTTGAGTAAAGCTTGAAATTCTTATATTTATGAGACTAACAAATAGAGTTTGCTTTGATACTAGTTCAAGTATTTATCTACAGTTATGAAGAAATATGGGTTTTTTTCTTTGCTTTACATAAAAGTTATTTTTATGTGAGAAATGCCAAAATTTAGAATATCATCCATTTATATTGATTAACTATTGGGACTCTCATTATTGAGGACGTGGTTATCACTACTAAAAAACTGAGCATTTTCGGCACCATTTCCGGCATAATTTTGTGTGTCGCTGCGTTGGATCCATATGCACGATTGTTACACCATCACGAGAGGAGTTTTGAGGTTCTCTTCTCGATATTATTGGTTTGGGACAAGGGAAGAGTTTTGATGTCTTTGTTTTAGATACTTTGGTTCAATATGGTAATGTCGTGGTATATGGTTTCTCATACCGCTATACCAACCTATGTACTTAGGTACAGTAGTAGTACCAATCAACTTAAGTAGGTATCAATTTAATTGTTGCTGTTGATATGCATGTTGGTTAATTGGTTTGATTTGGTACGAATATGACACCCTTATTCTTTCATTGTCTTTCTGGTCTTCGCTTTGTAGGTTAACCTCTCGTTAGAAGGTAAACTCCCCCACAAGTACCTACGAGATTCAAAGTCATGTGCTGGTTTGTCGTTAGTGGCTTGATCAACAATGCCTGTCCTTGTTAGTGGCACTTTTATGTACAAAACCCACTAAATAACCAAGCGTTATCAGTGTTTTGTTTATCATCAAACCTTCTTTAAAATTGGGGCTCAACAAGAAAGAAGGCGTGGAGGATGAGCGTGTCATGTTCTAAATCCATAAAACATCTGAAACTATTGAAACAGTATGGAGGCTATAGAAAATACGTGAACGACAAAGTTCCAAGTTCCAATAAGCCCACTAAATATAAGTTATATTTAGGAACATTGATGTTTTGAGAATGATATGAAAGTTAAGCGTAGAAGATGGCAACATTGAGCATATGTTTGATGTTTGAGGCGACATTAAGCATAGACACTCAAATTCCCCTTTGTGAAGGGACATTTTTTAAACGTAAACTTTTTTATACTGTGGTACAAGTACGATGCACCATGGATTGAACAAATTTTCGACACATTTACGTAATTGCTAGTGAGGATATGCATGACGAGTTCCGATGTGTATGACGTTTGATCCGAGATGAGTTATTGAGCTCACAAGTCGCAACTAACCCATAGAAACGTCTCAATGGCCCATCTAAGGATCCCAAATTTCATCATCGTTTGGGTTTCTCTTATTTGGTTTTTAACAAATAAATATTATGGAAATTAAGATTTTTGCCATTCATGTGTTATCTTAAATAGAAAATTTAACGTTTTAGACATGATTTTGAATCACACCTAACGAGGGGTTGTTTGTTTACTTCTTAATAGTTCCATTAAAAAGCAACATCTGAATCATTAAGAGGTGAATCTTGTTTGGCAAAAAAAAAAATCCGTCTCTTAATTGTTCTAAAACCCTCTGAATAATTTTGTATCATGGATCTCCCTTAACCATGAAAAGCCCTAATTTCATTATACACAATTATCAAACAATTATATTTCATTTTATACTATATCATAAGAGACTCTAAATCATTCTTGACCACTTAATAAGCTATTGTCCACTCTATATAATATGACCTATGCACGTTTACACTACTAGAAAACCAGGTATCAGCGACGAATATCAGCGAGAGAAATTTTCCCTCACAGATCAGCGAGGGATCAGCGAGGGAAATGCCAAAAAACTCATTCCCTTGCTGATCCCTCGCTGATCTGCGAGGGAAATGCCAAAAAACTCATTCCCTCGCTGATCCCTCGCTGATCTGCGAGGGAAATACCAAAAAGAATCATTCCCTCCCTGATCCCTCGCTAATTTGCGAGGGAAGTTTCTTCTGCAAATACCATCGCTGATCCCTCGCAAATCAACGAGGGATCAGCGAGGGAAATGACAAAAATTCAGAATCCCTCGCTGATCCCTCGCAAATCACATTCCCTCGCTGATCCCTCGCTGATTTGCGAGGGATCAGTGAGGGATTTTTCTATTTTTCCTATCAACAGGTACTCTGATTGGATGAGCTCTGCACGTGATTGGGCCATGGCACAGGCCTATCCTGGAGATCAACAATGGGATGGTGAGGACTTCTCACGGATTAGATTACACCATCCCGTATGGATACCAGACAGGTTTTGGTTGATGATTGACATGGTATGCATCTCTATTGTGAGCTTTTCAAACTGCCATGTGTACCGCCTTTCGCCTTATATATGTGCTCTGTTTTTAACAGGTCTGGGATACCGAGGCTTGGAAAAGGAAATCCAGGATCAATCGGGCCAATCRGAACACCGAGTTTGAGGGGGTGTCGTCCAGACACACCGGGGGATCGATTAGTACGGCACAACATCGAGACAGGATGGTGAGTATCTAATCTTTTTTGAAAATATAATTCGTTCTTTATGTTAGTAACAACTTAACCTAATTGTCTAATGTAGGCACAAGTAATGGGTCGTGAGCCTACTGCTACTGAGGTGTTTGAGCGCACTCACTGCACGAACTGGAAGTTCGATCAAGGTTCGTCCGAACCGCCTACCGATCCTCCTCAGTTCAGTTACCYGAAAGCTGCTAGGTATCATGTAAGTTTTCTAAAACCATTACTTTGGTTAATAGATACGTTTGGTAGGTTTAAGGTAATATATTTCAATAAACATAGTGATGCTATTAGTTTGGGCTGCCATTATTGGGCAGACGTTAGGCTAAGTAAGTAGGTTGAGAATGCGACTTCGAACATTGGTATTATTAGAATGCTTAGTTGTTAAATATATGCATTGGTTATGTTTGATTTACAGTCGTTATGCTGCTGAAATATCTACATACATAACTTCACCCGTTTTTGTTTTGGTGAACCATAGGAGCGATTTCAATCGCTTAGGGGTGAGTCACAATCTAGTACCGACAGCCCTCTCCCTGATGAGGCATCTCGTTGGGAGCAAAGTGTCGGAGGACGGAGGAAAGGCCGAATATTTGGTTTCGGGACCACCCAGGACCCCTCTT